CTCGGCACTCGGGGCCATTGAGCAGTGAGGGATCTTTATCGTGCCAACGCCTACCGCTGACACGGGGCCTCGGTTTTTAAGGTCTCATCCGAAGGACCTGAAACTTTCACTTCAAAGTGCCGAGCGCATAGCGAAGGAACAGTTGCTACCCACTTTAACGACTAGGTCAGTCGCGGTCGAAATACGAACTCACGACCTCCCGATCACGGAGCGAGCGCTCTACCGACTGAGCTACCGTGAACGGTGGAAAAGGGTTGAGAATATTGAAGAAATTATAGCTTATATAAAAGTTCGCACAAAACTCGGTAATTCGGTAAAGCAGATTTTTACTGAATTGGGGGAAGTTTATGGGTCCGATAAGGTATCTTATGAGATAGTTCGTAGGTGGAGACAGAAATTTCTGACTGGCACAGAGTCCGTCAAAGATGCAGCAAAATCGGGTCAAACTGTGACTGTATCAGGCAAGACAAATGTCTCAAAAGTCAAGGAAATAATTGAAAGTGATGGCAGGTACACGATTCGTGATATTGCCAAAGCTGTTGGCATATCGCTATCGCGGGTGCATTTCATTTTGAAACGTATTTTGAAAGTACGAAAGATTTCTGCCAGATGGATACCCCATATATTGACAGATGACCAAAAAAAGGTACGAATACAAACCGCTAAGCGACTGCTAAAAATGTTTCCAAACTTCAATCAAAGACAATTTGCAAACATAGTTACTGGTGACGAAACATGGGTTCACTATTTCGAACCAGTAAGAAAAGTTGGAAACAAATTATGGCTAACCAAACACGGTAGAAGGCCTGTAGTTGCCAAAAAGGACAGTGAGCACAAAGAAGGTCCTTTATTGCATATTCTTCTGTTGTGATGGTTTAGCCGTACAAATTCCGGTGCAGAAGGGCAAAAGTGTTACAGGTCGGTATTACCGAGATGTTGTACTGAAAAAGCTCAAGAAATATTATCAGAAACGACGTCCTGTGTCGGGATTTAGGCAATGTCGCCTTCTTCATGATAATGCTCCATCACATACATCTGAGCTTGTGAAACAATTTTTGAAGTCTGAGAAGGTTACTGTCTTGCCACACCCACCATACTCTCCGGATCTAGCACCATGCGACTTTTTCCTTTTTCCAAAACTTAAAAAGTTCTTATCTGGTCGTCGATACAAGTCCCGACAGGCCCTTGGCTCAGCCGTCAGTCAGTGCCTCAGAGGTATACCTAAATCAGCGTACCGTGACGCATTTCATAAATGGATTCAGAGATTAAAATTGTGTATTTCAAATCACGGACAATACTTTGAAAGGATGTAATGTCCATTTGACTATTTGAATCGAATGCTTTTGAGATATCGTACAATACACAATACATATCGAACAACCCTCGTATATTCAAACATTCTTAAGAAAAAAAAGTGATTTTAACTCCTCCCTCCAAATCTTGATTGATTGTTTATAATTTAATGTCCCTCTCGAGAATTTTTCACTCATATGGAGACGCTACTACTTGCCGATGGAGAGCTGCAAATTTTATCCAATATACTCGGCACTAAAGATCATTAAGCAGGGAGGGATCTTTTTCGTGCCAGCACCTACTGCAACACTGGACCTTGGTCTCATCCGAAGGACCGGTCTCCATGTCCCACAGTGGCCTGGATTCGAACTCGCGACGTAAGGATCGACTCATTACTTCGTAACTCTAGAGCACCTTTAACGTAGATATTTGACCCGGGGGTCATTTTTCAACGTTGAAAATTGAGACCCAATGTGTTAAATTTAGACTCTAGTCCGTTGAAAACTGAACCGGGTCGTGGAATTTTGATCATGAAACCGGTTCTAAATTAAACAGCATAAAAACACATATTTATGGCAGGGTTTTCACAACTGTGAAACCATAGGCGTCGGGAACGTCGTGTGACGCTCCCCCCCCCCCCCCCCACCACACTTTTGAAAATTTGAAATCACCATTTTTTAAAAAAAATCAGTAACATCAAAACGTACAACTTTTGTACACTCTATACAAGCATTCCTCACGACAAATTCAAAACTATATATTTAATTTTACATCATAGACAACGGTTTTCTCTATAAAATGGAACTCGGGATTATTCGTATCTTGTGAAATGTCATGAACGAAAATTGCTTTGTTAAAAATCACCTTAATTCTACCTAAAAGTATCCTGAAGTTGATATTAAAAGGATGATGGAGTTCCTTATCGACACCATTTCTGCAGTCTTCGGAGACCAATTCTTCCTTCAAAACTTGGAATTGCAATGGGCACTAATTGTGCTCCTTTATTGCCTGTTTAAATATTTCTATGAAACAGAATCAGAATATATTTTTAAAAACTTTATATGACAAAAAGAAAACATTTGCTGTGGGGTTCAACTCAACATTTAGATATACCGTTGACGTATAATAGTTACTTTAGTTCATATGTCGACTCGATATATCCAAGTGAACTTTAAATTAAAGTCACCATTGAATGTGCCACAACTGTTTCATGTTTGGATATTTTACTGACTATGGAAGATCAAGGCCAACTGAAACTATACTGTATAAGAAAAGAAATGATTTCTTCTTCATCTTTACCAAAGTGAACTTTCCGTATTTGTAAAGTAATATTCCGCCATCAATTAATTATGGTATGGCGGGTAGAACGTTGCATTATTATACTTTTTTGTTATTCTTATTCAAACGTTTTTCTTTTCCTAAATCATGTCATTCCTGTTCGATAAAATGTGATTCCTATTCGATTAGTTGTTATTCTTGCGAAAAAATGTTATTTCTGTCCGAGAATTCATCACTCTTATGTTGTTATTCTATTCGAAAATATGTGATTCCTTTTCGATAATTCTGACATTTCTATTCGATAATAAAATAATTTATATTTGATAATCATGTTAAATATGTCATTCCTATTTAATTGAGTTTTCAACCAGTTCTAGTTTTGTCATATTTCCAGAATGCAATTATTTAAAAACATCGCATATATACATGGATAGATCCATGGCGTATATTGTTTTTGTCTATCTGTCTGTTGTCAACTTCAACCTTCGCCATAACTTTTGAACCACGAGAGATAGAGACTTCATATTTCGTATGCATAGTCCACTAATTAAGTTCTTTCAAATGACACCAAATTCAGTGATCTTGACTGTGACCTATATGCTAAAAATAGCTTTTTTGAACTTTCACCATAACTTTTGAACCTAGGAGATGGAGACTTCATGTTTGGTATGCATACTCCACTAATAAAGCTTTTTGAAATGACAATAAGGTCAATGACCTTTTGACTTTGACCTTTTTGCTAAAAATAGCTATTTCGATTTTTTAACATAACTTTCAACCAAAGGATATATAGACTTCTTATTTGGTCTGCATACTCCACTAATTAAACTCTTTCAAATGACACCAAGGTCAATGACCTTGTGACCTTGACTGTGACGTATAAGCTAAAAACAGCTCTATCGAACTTTGTTACCGCCGGCAAACACATCTTGTTCCAAATAGAAATGGATGCTAGTATGTTTTCGAACAACTTTATTTCATATATACCAAATAATTGTCGAATAAGAAATAGGAATGACAAAATTGGCGAATAGGAATCGCATGTTTTCAAATATGAATGACATCGAATAGGAAACGCGTGTTTTCAAAAAGAATGATATATTATAATATAGGAATCATACTTCCTCCGATGGGAATAGCAATTTATTGAAAACAAATTACCAAACAGAAATAAAATTATTACACCTAATCGAATAGGAATTAACACATTGTATCTAATAAGAATATGTTTTAGAATAAAAATAATCTCATTCTCAATGTTATGCCCCGAAAACGATCAAGTTTTAAGCCGAGGCAGGATACTGACAGATAAGTTTGTTACAGTAATTTCGCCAACCTTGTTTAAAGTCAGCATAACTCACATTCTATGGTCGCTATATTGATTACAAATATAACCTACCTTTGGATTCATTTTGGCCGATTTGTTTCATTTTAATTTTTAGGCTTTAAATACTGATACTGAATTTGACTAGATATATACATATATATAGGGCTCACTTTCTAGACACCAGATTTCCAGGATTTTTGTTTTTTGCCCTTTTCATTGTTTTGTAGTTATTTATGGACTATGGATTTTAGTAAGTATTGTCAAAAAATAAAGTTGTCATGCTTGAAGATCACTGATCAAAATGTACATATATACACGGGATGATAGGTTTATTTCTATTATTCTTGAAAAGGGAAAAAATTTAAACCGAAATATAAATATAGAGAGACTGATAAATCCAGTAAAACTTCCCAGTTCAAATAATGTTCAAACTCTAAGGTGGGATCAATATTCAACAGGGTCAATTTTCAACTTGTTGAGGTCATCAGGGATAAGAAAAAAAATTATCAAGCTGTTAAAAATGACCCCGGGTATTAATTCAATGACTTTTTGGTCTCAATTTTCAACGGAGATATAAACACCCCTAGTTCAATTATTCAACGTTGAAAAATGAACCCCGGGTCAATTTTCAATTCGGGTCAATATTCAACGTCACACCGGCGCTCTTCAAAAGCTTAATTTCGTAACTAATATTTTGAGATACATCCTGATATTTCTTTCAGTCTTTGCTCTTTAAAAAAAAAAACTAAATTCACTTTTCAGGCAAGAAAAGGGTGCAAAAAAAGTCAACTTAAAAAATCTGCATACAGGCAATTAATCATGGACCTTCCAAAATACAAACTGTACACTAAATTCATTCAAAAACAACTAAGACATTTAATTTTTACTCCTGAATTTTTGATAAAATATTCAACCTTGAAATATTAGTTAAACAAAAAAAGATAATGGTAAAGTCATTAAAAAAAAATAATATTCAGTAATAATTTTTTGGCTTTGTTCTAGAAAATGTAAATGACATCATTATGATAAAAATATCACTGTTCAGTCATATCAAGTTCTAGTGTCCTTCACTTTTGAACATAATTATGAAAAATCATTAAAAAAAAATAAATCAAAACAAACACAAAAATACTAGTATTATGTTAAAAAATCAAATAGTTAATTTTTTTGGCACAAACAAATATCACAGTTTAAATCATTAAAGAAAATAACAGTTTTTGGCACAAACATAAATACCAAAGAAATATCACAGTTCACTCTCAATGTTCACACTATCATTGAAGTTGTTTTGTCTATTGTGGTTGGTCTGTTGCAGATGAAGGGCATCAGAGTTGGGTGTACTTGTCATGTGGGCCTCGAATCCATTACTTCTGTCGCTGTCTAACATTGGGTGAACCTTCTGGGATTTAGAGTCCCCATTCTTTGTTGTTCTCGTGTGATGGGAAGGTGGATGGCTCTTACTAAATAAGGAAAAATCATACGTCATGTCTGAAGATGCTTTCCCATCAACGGAGGTTGGATGGATTTTGGCAAATCCACTTTCAGGGCCCACAGTGATTTTTCTAGGTCCCACATTGCCGTTCTGTTGGTTTCCAGCTTCAAACATCTTGGCGGCGTCTCTCTGAATCTGGGTGGGTGGGGTCTGCCTGCCTGCCTTGTACTCCTCCTCCAGGTGGTGGTCATCCTTGTTACCTATCTTCTTCTTTCTCCTCCTCTTCTTCTTCTTCCCACTTTTGTCCATCAGCTGGTATGGGGGAGGGGGGTAGTACGGGGAGGATTTATCTAGGTTCAGAGCGGGCAGGACTCGACCTCGTTTCCCAGTGGTTAAGACAGGAGGAATATTCTGGGGTAGTTTGTCTCCTTCATACTTGGTAGGTACAAGTGGTTCAAAGGTAGATTTAGTGTGTCTCTCATGGTAAACCCTGTCCTCATCAGGATCATAGTGTGGCTCTACATCCAGAACTGGATTGTGATAGCCCTGCAATGTGTTAATATTTCATTATCTCCTGGTCATTATAATGAAATAATGTCAAAACTCTTTTTATAGCAGTATATGATATGGTAAATATTGAGAAGAAATGATTTGGTAAAGATTAACAATAATGCGAAACAAACCCTCAAATTAGCAATGCTTTTGCACACTAGTTTTGTGGATCATTGTTATTGTGAAATTCCATTTATTTTAAAAGGTACAATAATGGTCAATCTAACATTAACTCAGTTTGAATATTGCTTGATCCTTTAAGTTGCAATCTAAAACAGCAGATCTAAGTGCCTTTTTTTTCAATTATGATACAGTCCCTAAAATGCTCTTTCATCCCATTTTCCCTTTCCTTCTGCACACATCACCTATTCACCATTTAATTTCATAGTATTCTCTGATTGCTCAAGCCTCTTCCATTCACTCTTTCTTCTCTCCCCATTTGAATGGGGTAGTAAAACATTTCAGAGATTGTAATTATAAGTATAATTGAGTACTGCATATTCAGGAGACCTTCTTTTCCTAAAGTGATGAGGATAAATTAATGATTTGAATTCTATCACACAATAAACATTAAGTTAGTGCAAACAGTGAGTATTTCCTTCAGGTGCTGTTAAAAATTTTTCACAAGACGGCTTATATATTAAGGAAGTTCAAATCTATGTTAATTTTTTATGATCAAAATCCACTTCAGATTTTATAAACAACAAAACAACTCAAAAGCACAACTCAGCTGTTGATAAGAGGAAATGCTAAATCAGTAAATCAAGTACATAAAGATGACAAACATAGTTTAACCACCACCCAAAATAGTAAACTGTCTACAAATGACTCGTACCCTATACATCTCATCGATAGCTTCCTGTAACACCAAATGTACAAAATTTGAGGTCAAGCAATGACTTTGAGAAATTTTAATGAATTTTTTTAAGCTTTATAATTTCCTTTTCCCTTAGAATAATGTGTGTCACTGCTCACCTTTTTGGGAGGAAGGTTATCAAATTCTCCAGTGAAACCCTATATTGTGTAAAATAATTCATAAAATCTAAATCATTGTAGTTATGAGGAAAGCAAAGTCTAGTCTTACATTTCTTCAATTTCAGTTCATTATGAAAACAATTATTTTAAAATCAATTAAATGGCATACTGTAGATGTACTTTTTTCCATGGGGTCATAATTCCGCGGAATCTCAATTTCTGTTTGATCTGCAGGTAGAAAATTATGCGATTTCTCAGACTGTCACTTTATGCCTTACATTTATATTAAGTACGCTTAGACAAATTTCCGCAGAAAATTTGTGACCGCGTACAAAGCGTAAATTAATACCACGGGGAAGAAAGTACATCTATGGTATACTTGACAGTTTTTACAGATAATGATTTCTACTTTTCATAATAATTATGAAATTTGTCACAAATAACAGATGAAAGAAGGCCAAAAAAGTGCAATGATAATACAACACATTGTACAAATGGGAGGACAAACATAAGACACACTTCTACACTTCTAATGCTATGAATATAAGGAAAACAAACTACTGATGCTCTTCAATGGCTTCATTAAAGTATTACTTTGTTCACAAGTGGATGATACTCTTCATGAACTGAGAAGAGAAAATAACTCAAGTATTCATAAAAGGATGAACCAAACATCAAGTGACCTACACAGAATGCTAGACAAAGTACTTCAGATTCAGTACAGAATGCACAATTGTTTGACAAGTACACATGAGTATAAGTAGAACAATTAGAATATGACAATGAACACTTTAAGGTGACAGCTGATATTTACCCTGGTGAAATTGGGGTTCTTAAAGTACTCAATCTGTATGTAAAGAAATAAAATGATGGTGAATATTAAATGCATACAAAATATAAATCCATGCAATTACATCATTCAGTATGAAAACCTAGTAACACATGAAACGTCAAGGATATAGCTAAGTTCTTTAAAATGACCCCCCCCCCTCCATTTTTTTTTTGCAAAAAGCAGAAATCTTGAAATTCAGATTGCTCTCAGACTAAATTCACGTGGTAGTTAAGGGAGTTGACCATTCTTTTGACATGTGATGAAAATCATGGAATTTTTCATTTACACCTACATGTAAATAACATCACAACTACAGAACCAATAAAGAACATAACAAACTTTATTTATTAATCAAAAGAAAGATAACATTTTTTTTCACACAAGATTTCTGTCAAAAGGCCATATTAAAGTGCATGTAAACTAAAAAGCTTTGTCAGAGAAACAAACAAGTAATGTACAAATAAGTGAAGAATTAAAACAAAAAACTGCAGCATCTGATTCACTGTTCTATGAGACATAATACATGTAGTCCCCTTGTTTTTAAACTGGATCTTTTTTTTTAAATCAAGTTTCATGTGTTCTAAGTTTAAAACAAATAAAAGGTATTGTCATGCACATGCTGTTAAAAGCAAACTGAGACAAATCATTGACTTACATCAGCAGAGGCACCATCATCATATGTCCAGGGTTTCTCATCTGAAAAGAAAAACCAAAAAGTTATGCAACAGGAATCAAATGAGGTAATTGTTGGTTTCCTTGGAATCCAGAGTTAATTGTAAAAAGAGATTTGATTTAAATGTGCGAGTGATTTACCAAGTAAGCTCTCTTCATCGTCGCTGACACTAGAAGCTGACCCAGTCATGGAAGATGTGGATCCAAAATGGCTACTACAAACATGTACCACATTCATAGATATCAATATTAAGTATCAAATTGTTTAATGACATAGCATTCAAGATGTGCTACATTTAGCTTTAACAAATTCAGTTAACAACATCTAAAGAATTAAACAACATCTAATAAGAGTTTTTATAACAATATTACAGTCAAAGATAGGTATACTCACTCCGTTTCATAGTCAAGAGGACTGTAAAAAAAATAAAGAACTTGTTACAATCATAATTTGTTTCATAGTAAAGAGGACTGAAGAAAGAACTTGTCACAGTCATACAAGTAATTCACAAAAGTTTAAACATTTGTACATTGCAAAATCCTACCTGCGCTTAAATTTCAGTCTGTACACGGCAGTAATTATGAAAATGATGAGGAGGACTACAGCCAGAACAATAATGGCGATGACCCAGAGCTCAAATTCACAGTGAGGATTGTCCAGAGGACAGGCACACTCATAGTAATTCTCGTTGTTGAAGCAGACATAGGGGGAGATACAGGGGTTACTCAGACACTCGTTAATGTCCTCTGCGCAGTATTTGCCCTGCCAGCCTCCCGCACACACACAGCTGTAGTACGCATCAAAACTGTGGCTACGATGGGTGTCCTCACAGGAATAGATCCCAGTCGCTGAAAATATAGAATAATTCATTTACTAGTATATTATCTACAAGTATACCATAAATGTTTCATAAATTTACAAGATGTCTTTGATAAAACATTGCAATCATCAATAAGAATATATTTCTTTCCTCCATTATATATTTTTTAACTTCATTCTTACTCAATGAAAAAATGTAAATTTTATTGAAAAAAAAAATTAAGAAATTAGTTTTCAGATATTTCTTTAATGTAGATATTATATTATATACTAACGTTTGCATTGTGCCCTGTTGTGACAAGGGGACTCCATGATGGCAAACTGTAAGGAAATAGGTAAAGAGGTTCCATTGGAGGAGTCCTCAAAATACATCCTGGCCGTAAAATTTCCAAAGACATTGGTCGGC